ACCAATTGAGTGTTTACTCTGGGCCCACTTACAATTGCCGATATCCACCAACACGCCTATAGTATTATTCATTTCCGTCCCCTTCTTTTTTACCCAATTTCGAGGTCTGCAGCAAAATTCATTTATGTTCCCTTCTTTTTTGACCCATACCTTCACATTTCAAATCGTAATAGCTGTAGGATTCCCCATCATCTCGTCGCCCCAAAAATTTCCTCCATAAAATCCCCTTAACCACCTCTTCTGCGTATGGAGCTCTCCCCAAAGAGTTCAATTCCGGCAAGATTACGAAACGAAGACGATGAATTTCAGATCGATCGCCGCTCTGAGCAAAGTACCGAGAGCACCGGTAGCGTCTCCGTCACATCTCCGAAAAAGAAAAGACTCCGGCCAACAAAGGTAAATTATACCCTCTTTAATGCGTCTGAAAAATTATGTATATAAATGGTTGTTTCCATTAAAATTGGGTTTACAATTGGAGCGCACTGTGAATGGACCATCGCTATTTGTATAGCCTGTTGAATATATTTGTGATTTATGTGGGTTATGAAATTGGGGCTCCTATGTGTAGATGTTAACAGGAAGACGCATGAAGAAAATAGTTTTTTTTGAAAGTTAGGGATATCGATTCCAACAAAATTGATAGGGTAATCGTATCTTCACTTGCTTCTAGACATTACATTTTAATTACATATGTTGGCTAATTTTGAAAGTTCAATTCCAAGTGTAGACTACTTTTGATGTTACCTGTTATTTTTTCATGTGTACAATGTAGAACAAATATGCATTTGTTTTCATTTTTTTCGAATTTTTATATTTATTTTAACATGTGAAGAGCACCATACCACATTGTAGTTGGTTTGTTATATGTCATAATTGTAGATGTCATATACCGGTGGTATTGGTACTTCGACTGATAATAGTCAAGGGGACGCAAAATGGCCTCCCGAAAATGAAGCCGCATTTGTGGGTGTTTTGTTGGAAGAAGTCCAGTTAGGAAACCGTGTAGCCGATAAGTTCACACCTAATCAATGGGGGACCATTCTTGGGAAGTTGACAGAGAGGTGTCCTATTTACTATCCTTACAAAGTTGCTCAGCTACAGAGTAAGTATCAACGTATGAAAGTGTACTGGAGACGATTTCACAACATAGTCACCAACGCCACCGGATTGGGATGGAATGAAGATAAAAAAACTATTGAAGGACCCGCTGAATTTTGACGCAATGGACAACCGTAAGTATTTTTCTATCCTCGTGTTAACATTCAAATTGTTTCCTATTGCCGTTCTGAGGACTCTTGCAAATGTGCTTTAGTTTATTATGGCCTGTACTTGTATTATGTTGTTGGAAGGATCGGTTCATGTTGGCGTTGTGTTTAAATTAGATATGCTATATTATATTTACTGGCCATAATTTCTGTTTAAAAGGAAATTAAAATAGTTTGTTATGCTCCTCGTGTTAAAATTTACTTTTTTTTATGTCACGTGCATAGGCAAATCGAAATGACCATGACATGGAGGGTAAGGTGTGTATGCATTATGAAGAACTGACTACTATTTTTCACGGCACTACTGCTACGGGGTCAAATGCGAGGGCATCAACTCAACGGGTGGCCGAGGGACGTGTGAACGGTCGTGAGGCGTCCGCACATGTGAGCCAGGATTTTGTCGCAGAGGAAGAAGATGAATCGATGGTCACCCCAACATCTCATGCACGGCAGGATAGGCAGAGGCGGTACGTTCGCCCGAGGAGGGGCACAGAGTCTAGTTTCGACACGGCAATATATTCGTGGTCAGACTTGAATGTGTCCCTTAGAGAAAGAACCAACAGACCCCCAAAGCTAACGACAATGGAACAAGCTATGCGCGACCTTCAAGCAATGCCGGATATGGACGAAGATCTTTTCCTGCAAGAAGTTGCGGGATCCCACCAATCGAGCAATGTTTGCGGCAATTAATAGTGACGAGAGACGTCGCACTATTATCAAAATGTGGGTGGATGAGGGCCCCGGTGATGCTTGAAGGGGGGCGGCGAACCTTTTTATTGCTCTTTATTTGTTGTTGGCCTTTTCTATCTTCATATAGTCTACGAGTGTAGTATGTTTAACTTTGTTTCCAAGCTACATTAGCTACTGCATGCTTATGTTATAATTTGTTTGTAGACATTTGTATGCGTGTATTTATTATACATTTAATTGTAGGATGTCTTATGTTGACGATAGTGACACATATGAGGAAGATGTCGATCATTTGCCTGAAGACATTGATAGTGATTTGGAGCCGGTGGAAGAGTATGATCCCATGGAAACATCCTTAATGGTGGGCGCTCAATTTCACCAACTTGTAAACATTTTTAAAAGTTCGTCGGTCGTATTTCCTCCTTTAAGGAGAACCCCCTACCGAGAATCCACCTACTCGGGCTTGGACTGGGTAAATGAACTATTAGCTGGAAATCCTCGCCACTTTAAAGATGCAATGGGCATAAATCAATGTCATTTTAGCATCCTTTGTGATGAAATCAAGAGAGCAGGATTCCACAAAGAAACACGACAACAAAAAATAGGCAGTGAAGAAAGCGTAGCCATTTTTCTGCATACAATAAAAGGTCATCAAAGGCAACGACGTGCGGCTGAGTCATTCAGACACTCGGGGGAGACGATTAGTCGTCATTGTCACAAAGTCATCAATGCTCTATGTTATCTAGCCCCTGACTACATTCGTCCCCCAGACTTCAACCGTGTTGCACCGTGGATAAGAAATAATCGTAACTTATATCCCTACTTCAAGGTAAATATATTCCACTTCATGTGTCCAATACCGTAGATTTTACAAGTAACTTTTTACTGTAAAATTTAAATAGTAATTTCTAATGTCAGGATTGCATTGGCGCCATTGACGGGACTATTATACCAGCGTGGGTGCCCGAAGGACAACAAGGTTCTTACAGATGTAGGAAAGGTTATTTGGCGCAAAATGTCATGTTGGCATGTGATTTTGACTTGAAGTTCACTTTCGTCCTAGCCGGCTGGGAAGGCAGCGCAAATGACGCACGTATTTTTAATCACACTATGTCCGACCCCCGATATGCTTTTCCCTTTCCACCACCAGGTAATTCCATCATCACACTATTCATATGCTATTATTAACTTAGTTAAATTATATTGAAATTTATCAATTTCTTCTTTTGCTCTGGTGGACATTTCAAAATGTAGGTAAATTCTATGTTGTGGACTCCGGATACGCAAATATCCCAGGTTTCATGACACCATATCGTGGTGAACGATATCATCTTCCAGAGTGGTTGGGGTCTAACCAGTTGCCCGGCAATGCTCGTGAGTTGTTTAACAGACGACATGCCACTGTCCGTAATGTCATAGAACGCAGCTTCGGTTTGCTAAAAGGGAAGTTTCTCATCATAAAGAGGCTGATGCCAAACTACACAGTCCACTCCCAAACCGACATAGTAATAGCATTTTGTGTTCTCCACAACTTTATTCGGTTTCATGAACCACTAGAAAACATGCCCCCTGAATTCAGAAACCTAGAATACGTACGCCAACATGATCCTCAAGATCGTACCTTTGCTTTTATGTCCAATAATAATAACTCGAACCCTAACGTTGGTGACCATTGTGTCTTGCGTGACACGATAGCGCAAGCCTGTGGGCGAACCGAAGATAAACCGAACATCGTTTGTATTAATGTAACCCGAGCACACCTTTCATTCTATTAAGGACACCGAAATTGAAATTTCGGCCTACATTACTATCTTTTTTCTTTGATGAATTATGAGTGTTGTTCTTAATCCACATAAATTTATAGCCTTTTTCCGCCAATAATACTTTAAGTTGTAATGAAACCAAACACAATAGTACAATATTCACATAAACATTCTTATATATTAACAAATTAAGAATAATAGGAGTACTTGTAAAATTTTTATAAATAGAAATATTTATAAAATTCATTATGTAAAAAAAAGGCAGAAGACCCGCTTGTGTAATTACCAGTCTTTTAAAAAATTAATTTTATTAATATTTCTATTTGTAAAATTAATGTGGACTGTTACCACTTTATTTGCACACGAAAATAGAGACTGTTGTAATTAAAACGAATTTGAAATGGGGTGGTGGTGTATGTTTTTCATTTTGTTTTCTGCATTACGAAAGTCTCTACCCTCTACCATATATCCATTTGAAAATATTTTTAATTTGGTCTTTAAGATTTAAAATCAAAAAGCAATATTTCATGTTATGAACTTAAATAGAATATTTCTCACTACGTCATATTTCTGACTACGTCATATCTAATTTGAAACCAATATTTCTTATTGTTTTTTTTAACCATTCTTTTCATGCATTGAAATAATGTTACACGCACGAGAACCGTGAAAAGCAATAGTTCATGCAATGAGACCATTTATCTTAAAAACCTGTCAACCTGAACGTGGCCTTTGTTTACATATATTAAAATTGGTCCAATTACGAAATCCAACACATAAAATTAGTCCAAACATGAAAGATAATGAAAACCGGTCTTTGTACGCCAAACACTCTCGCACGATTACATTGTCAACCATCCAGTACCCGTACCTTGAAAACAACACACTCATATCCAATTAAGGTGAATACGCATGTGATGCCCTCCACGATTCCACTTTGGTCCATAAATTCACGCGCATCACCGTGTTCCATCAACGCCTTCCCATGCGCTTGGATTATAGGAACATTGTATCGACCTCCTTTACACAATAAGATTGCTCTCGTTGTATCATTAACTTGGTGTTCGATATGCTCCCTCCAAAAACTCATCGGAATGGCCTACAATAGTCAATACAATTAATAAAATATTTTTTTCCTTTCCATGGTTTCGAATTTAAAGTGAAACGTGATACGTACCAAACGTGCCCATTGCACGTGCGTTTTCTTCATATCCACTAAGAAGCGAAATTGAGGACCCGCCAACCCCCCTTGGAACCCGCCACCGCCAAAGCCAAGAGCAACATGGATTCTTCGTCCTCAGAGGTACGACCGGTTCAACGAGTTTCACAGAACGATTCCTTTTTTTGTTATGGGTTTTTCGTAATCGGTACTTACCAATCGATTTTCCAATCAATTTATGTGGAAGCGATCACTGTTGCTTTACTATCGGTATTTTGGAATGGATTTTTTTTGGGATTACAGTATACTCCGAGCTATTATTGTAGTATGTTGAGGTTGTCCACGTTCAGTACTTGACTATTTGTCGTCATACATTTGCAACCCATATTTCTCTGTTTCTTGTGCATTCTCGTTTCCTTTGTTGTGAGTCATAGTTTTTTTTTTGGCAATATATTTTATAGTCATTGAAGTCGGGTATATTTTATTGGCAACCTCACACAAACCACGTAGATAACACTTACCACAACATGTCGGAGTACTTTCAGCAGTTTTTCAAGTACATCGTTGGTCCGGAAAAATGAACATTGGTACGTTTGCATAATTCAATTGTTCGTGTTTATGTTTTTTTTCGTGGTCAAATACTGTGTATTATATCACATACATCGTCAATTCCAATTTTTTATGTGGCCCGCAGAAGCTTCCGGATAGTCTAAACCATCAATACAGCCACCGTACACCTGTTGAGTGCACCCTAACCACTAGAGAAGGTCGGCGGTATATCGTGACATTGAGAGGCAATCGTTTTCGGGTGTTTTTTGATGAAGGATGGCGAGACTTTGTGCATGGTGAGGACATTATGGTCGACAGCTGTTTGTGGTTCAACTGCACGTCCATTACGGATTTCATAGTCACAGTCCACGGGGACGATCAGGTGGAGCGGTATCTTCGCTACCGGTATACGCTAGAAATAAAGAAAAGCCATGTGGAACGTGCGCGTTTGGAAATTGTATATTAATATCCTTTGTCGTTACGCTATTCTTACTTTATTTTCAACCGCATCTTCACATTAAAACTACCCTTTTATTGCAGTCGATTCCTATTAATTTTTGGCGAGATTATATTCTTATCGACTCCATGGACACTTTCAGAGAAATTTTGGAGTTTGAGGGGTGTACATATGAATTACAAATCGTTCAAGGCCATGGAAAAATTTTGACGCAAAATTGGGATGCTGAGGATTTTGTGGACGCTACGCAAATGGTTGAAGGCGATACATGGCAATTCACATTAACTCCATATTTTTGTGTGCGTTTCGAGGTTAGGGTGGTGTAAGGTGTGTTTGAATGTTACTTTTGTACCGTGTGTTGAGGGTGAACTCATGTTTTATTGTGTAACAAACTATTATGTGATGATTGTTGTGGACTTCTGGTACGCATGCATGAGACTCATGACTGCTCTGTTATTTTGTTATAATTCATGTTCACATTGGTTATGTTCATTATTACATGTGTGTGGTACAACAACAAAGAACACAACCTGTTGAGTAGTATGGTTGTAATTCATATTAGTATAGAGGAACTTCTCTTCGAGATTCGAAATTACCATTACTAGGCTATGGTTGTAATTCATATTAGTATAACACAAATCGTTGGGAAAGTGTTCGGGTTCTTTCATATATTTTTCCCGCAAAAAATTGTGCTCGAGATTTGTTTGTTCGAACAAGGAAAAAAATGCTTCTTAAATTATAATTACAAATATTATATACTTAAATGTAAATAAATTATAATTACAAATATTATAATTATTGTTCGCGCACTAATCAAATGTTGACACACGACATCGTGTTCGTTCGATTAACAAACAAACGAGTTTTTGTCGAACACGAACGAGGTTGAATAAAAAGAATTTGTTCGCGAAGCTTCAGTTGGTCAACAGATGTCATCACGTCGTGGCTTTATCTGGTGTTGTTCTTCAAAGATAAATGCTACATTGCCAACCTAGTGTACAACTACATTGACAACAAAAGTGAAAACATCTGTTTGTGTATTTTTTTTATTTTTATTTGTGTGATATTTTTTAGTTGTGTTGTGAACATATAGTTGTACACTAGATTGGCTATGTATCATTTTTGTTCGTAAATTAACCTTACACTGTTGCGAAAATCTGATTCTTCACGATGGGTCTAATCAAAACAGCCGTATCAATGGTCTTGCATGTGGTAATGTTTTACTATTTTTCCTTGTTTTATTGTGGCGTGAAGTTGATGCATCATGTATGAGACTGCCTTTCTTGCTTTCTTTTTTCTTTTCGGTACATCTTTGTTGCTTTTTTTATTATAGTCAGAGGGCACTTGGATATAGGTGTGGCAGGGGTCTTCTTATCTCATTCATTTGTTGAGGCCATAAATTTAATTCAAAATTCGATGTGCCAGGTTGGTCAAAAAGGTGTAGAAGAGGGAGAAAGTGGAAAGGTGGTGTTTTGGGCGGGAGGTAATAGGAGATTAGATGTAAAAATCGGGAATGTNATGTGTGAGTTTTTTTTTTGCGAGTCTATATAAACATGCCACCTTTGGCAACGAAAATCATTCAAAAAAATTCATCATGGTTTCTCAAACACATTTGTGTTCCTGCGGAAATGGTCGGATGTACCGTTTGATGGCTAAAACAGAAAAAAATTATGGTAGGTAACTTTAATCGGTGTCCGACAGGATTAAACATGAGGGGAGTTTTCTTTAGGATGACCAGAGTAATTGCTATTTTTCTTCAAGGGGAAGTGCTCAAACATATTGTAATACGCAATCCAATGTAAAAGGTAGCAGTCATACGACTCGAGGGTCCAACTACTCAACCACGTCACATGCGCCAATGAACAATGACCCCCAGTCAGTGTTTAAAATTGCGACCCAAGATATCGTTAGAGGTTTTTTTGTGGTCGTTGGGTTATTACTTTTTGTAGCACTTTTGAAATTCATCATGATGTATTGAAAAATATTTTATAACAAGTAACATTTATTTGTCGCGTATGTTATTTTTCCAATGTAGCAATTTTATATGGAGTTTACCGGTGTGTTTAATGCAAATTATATATGAAAACATTTTATTAGACTTCTTACACGCTCAACCAACGGATTAATGATACTTCATTTTTGCAATTATTGAGACATACAGAAGTAAATATTTCTGTGTAAAAAAATGTATGTATAACTCATATAGTTCCGTATATTAACATATATATACATTACAAGTATATAAAATCATATGTCATGATTACTATCTAGTAAAATTTGTTTGCTATATAAAATCAGATTTCATGATTTGGTATATAATCATGTTACTACATAAATTAATTGCATGCAACGTAAAATTGGAATAAAGATAAATATACATATAAATAAAAATTGCTGAGATTTGTTTTCTGTAATGTATCCACATCATATAATCTTGATATGAATTAAACCAATGAATTTGAAGAGAATATAATAATTATCTACATATTATAAACATATTATGAGTTATAAAAAAGTTTATTGTTAATGCATATAAAGAATATTGAAGTGGAAAGAAAAAGAAAAGAACCTATATGACAACATAGCATGGGCCAAGGTTTTTAAAATGAAAAATGGAAATGAGTTGTAATTGTAAAAAACAACCTGTACGACAAGTAGGCATGGGCAAAGTTTGTTACCTTTATCCAATTCACTTCTCAACCACACACTTTGCCTATATATATACCTACATGGGCTTCGCTATAAATGTATGTGTTTAATTATCACCACTTCAAAACATCCTCCGCCTTGATTTTATGTTCAATCATGTGGGGTTTATCATTGCCAAAAACAAAGGAAGAACATTTCCGCTATATACTAGAAGGATTTTCGAACAAATGGCTTCCAGCAGCTGAGGAGTCTTTTTGTTCAATCCTTCTACAGTACATCCAGTCAGAAGGGTTGAACTGCGAGTTTGACATATATATGGCGTTTGATAGAATCCATAGAAGTTGTTTGGGTGAAATTGGACATAATTTGACTTTGGCCGAATGATATACCACATTCATGGTATTGAAAGAAAGGTATCGAACATTTAAATATTTTTTAGATTACCCATTGGGTGTTTTCGACATACACGCAAAGACTGTCTATCTTGACGAGGATGATCGTGAGGAAGCATTTGAGGTAAGAAATTTCAACCATAATTCCTTTTTGTTTTTTTATTATTTTTTATTATTTTTTTTTTCATGTTTTGGGAATTTGTTATATAAATATGTTCTATTACGAACATTGTCTTATCTCCATTTGTTATGTAATAATATTATAATTTTGAGTACATCATATTCTCTCAGTTTTGGCCATTAGCAAACCATTATTGTAGCAACAACCCTGAGCCTTTATGGGAAACCTTGAAGATAATTTTCGAACCACTAGGCCTTGACCCATATTCTGGTGAAATGCGGGCAAGAGATGAACGTAACCATCGCAAACTTGACCAAGTTGTTCGCGACTACTGGGCCAAAGAAAGACGTATGGCAGCACAATGAAGAAGGAGAGGTAATTGAGATTGTTGTCGCGTATGCACTTTTTAGATAAATGATTTTTCTTTCATTTCAGAACAATTTTTTGTAATCTACATTGGTGTTTCTACTGCTATTTGATATTTCAAATAAATAAAGTATTTGTGAAATGATAATTATTATTATTGCTTTTGTCAAGAAAATATTATGAGTAATGCTATTTAGCCTACTTGGATGACAACTTGGGTTACAACCCAAGTGTAAATGCATTATCTAAAAATTAAAAATTAATGCTATCATTAGTACGAATGTTCACATAAGATAAACATGCTATCATTATTCCGTTTATCTTTGTCGGGGATGCTTTAAATTTAAAAAATGGTTATTACAAATAAAAAAGATAAATAAAAAATAACATGGAAGTGTTTATTACGAATAAATATAGCCATGAATGTTCAAAGAAGATAACCATGATGTATTTTTTGCTCAACCAATTTGTTGTTGGGCCTACAAAATTACAAAATTTATTACTTAAAAGCGAAAAAAAATATAAAATATAAAAAATCAAAACCAAATAATCCGCAAACTGATGTTAATGGAGGCACCCAAAATTAGCCCAACTGCACGTGATGGANTTTTTTATGTCATCAGCAAATGCAATCTCTTTGGCCGACCAACAACTGTACATGCTGCCACAAAGTATGAAAAGGAGGGGTAGGCACTTGGACCAAGTAGAAGCTCCTCTAGTAAAAAAACTAGTTTCAACCCTCCACTTTGCTAGTTAAAAACTAGTAAAATTACATTCTACTTGGTAAACAATCATGCCCTTAGTAGTCATTTCCTTTTTCCTGCATTTTTCCCAGCTGAAGCCCGCTATCAGCCCGCCCCCTCACTCACAGCAGCAGCCCGTTCGGCCCGCGAGAGGCACGCGAGAGGCCTACGATTTCATCAGCATGTTACAGGCCTGGGGTCGGCCCAAAGGCACAGTGTAGCAGCCCAATTGTCGTGCGAGGCCCATTTTTTCTGAGCAGGCCAGCTTTGGCAGTTGCCAGTTCGGCCCAATTGTCCATTTTAGCCTAATTTTGAGTTCCGGAAGTCGTTTGCATACCGATTTCAATTTTAAAAATATTTTCAAAATGAGAAAAATTTGAAAAAATTATTTTTAGTCCCGAGACTCTAATTTAGTCCTCCGAGTCCTATTTTTAAAAAATGTGAGAGTTTCAAGTCCATGATAAATTCTGATAAAATACTTTAATCATTATTTTTGATTAAGTGTGCGTCTTTAATGATTGTAAATATCAAGATAATATATTTATGCGATTATCTTGATAAAATGTAGGTGTTTGAGGAGTCGAGTCCTCGACCTACCGACCTATTTATGTGCTTTTTCTACCGATTTACCAGGTGGGTTTTATTAAAATTGTCTATGCAATAAATTGTTTACCTTACTTGTGATGATCAATGTATGATTACGAATCATGTAGCCTTCGATGTGAGCTGTACCGGCCATCGAACGGTTGTCCCGTATTTATGAAAATAAACTCGAGGGGTTACTCCTACTGACTGGGCATCGATGGAAGCCCATGAAGCGATTCGGTGTGTAAGATCGGAGGGCATAGATGTAGAGCCCATGGGGCATTCGAAGCATGACCCGAGCGAGGGCCTTCGATACATCTACCGGCAGTAGTCTATTGGTATAGATGTGCACATGAGTCTGAACACTGTGAATTTATGATGAAAATTTGGGGATACTTGATTGATTCTTATATATGTTGTCATCATACTATTTATGTTTATGTTATGAAAATATTTATTGCATAGTGGTGAGCACTACTTTTTCCAAATGTGCTCATCCCCACCTGAAATTCACGTTTCAGATTAAGCGGAGAAGGTACGACGGCGGAGTAGAGCGAGTGGTGGTTGGTCTATAAGACTGGCCTTATTATTTGTTACCGCATTTATGACCGGTTTTATGGTTATGAACTTGGGATATTATTGCTTTTATGAATTTTGGATTTTATGACTGAATAATGTTAAAGAGATGCTCCTTAGAATTTATGAATATTGTTGGAACCCTGTTTGGGTATTGGATGGCAATATTGATAATTGAAATGATCATTGAGGATTGAGTATTGAGATGGATTGATTATTGAAAATTTGGTTAAGTATTGAAGTTCGTCTTGAAAATGAGTAGCGCCTCAAGTGTGTTGAAATAAATTTAAAAAATTTATTCTGATTTTCGACAAATAAAAGTGGGGTGTTACAAGCCCAATAAAATAATTAATTGTGAGCCCAATGCTTTCGGACTAAATATTCTTACAGTTTATTCTAAATGAAAGCATCTCTAATCTTTACATGTCCAACAACTACTTTTTTATGGCAGTATACGAGTGTCAATTATAGCTCACCTTATGATGTAGAGCGTGGTAGACGAAAGGAAAAGATGAGAAAACTCTCACGTAAAATATCGATGAAATCTGTTCAATAATAATCCTCCCATTCTAACAGATGAAAAGCAATATATAAGACTTCTATTCTACTTATCTTACCTAACAAGATATGCTAGATAATTATTTAATTACCAAAACAACTCAAATAACTAAAGAAACTAAATAAAATGATAAATAATAATTAGGAAATAGATCAACTAAATACGAAGCCGGTCGTATTTATCCAAGAATGTCATCGGGGTCTCGTCTCCATCATCCTCCCCAGGTTGAAAAGGATTCGACCGCGAATCCGAACCGGTCTCGTCTCCGTCTGAATTGTCAAACGAGACTGGGTCAAAGTGTACAACTGTAATAAATTCAAAACCTGTCAACTATTTTGCTTTTGCAATCCTTGTGAGCTTCCCAATAAATGAATTCCTCAATTTGACATGGTCACAGAGGGTATTGAATTCCTCAGACACACCATTTTCTTCTGCCCAATGCTCAACTGTGTATTTGTTTGGATTAATAATAGCAACAGGAAAGTCCTTAAAATTGTTCCCATATACCCATATTGAGTCAATATTAAGGACCAAGCCATCGACATTCTCTAAATTTTCCACTGCAACATAGTGTCCTTGTGAGAGTTTAAAATATTTTTTTTTGCGATCGACAATCATCAAGCTCCCATCAGGCGGCCATTCACCAATATCCCCACGCCAAAATCCAATTGCAGCTCCATGGTTGATGAAATATTTTGCAATGTTACAATCAAATATATGCGCCAAAGTAGAATATGATAGATACACATCATTGACAGTCAACGAGTCATCGACATTCTTTAGAAGACATATTACTCCAGCAATTATGCTGACAATTATGGTAACAATGTTGTTGTTGGAAATCATGATACCCTTGGGATCTCCTATAGTTCCACTTGTATTATGATGGTATAAATATCAGTTCTGTTTTGCACTGGAAGATCAAAGTTTTTGTTTCCTCCCAAGGACAAGAAATCCTCCCAACAGTAAATGTTTTGGTAAGTCAGCCATATGTATTTACCTGACCTCCCATTAACAATTTCACGAAGACCGAGCATTCTATTATTGGGATATTTCTCTATGGACAAGCAAAAAGTGTCATCCTCAATGGCACCACGCGAAAGAAAAAGGACAGACGAAGAAGATGGACCCGGCCAAGGTCGTGGTGGCCCTGGATGCAAAACGATCTTAATACCCCCAAAAAGAAAACTGTAGGTGTTAAGTCGACCGTCATGCGTAGCGGCACGATCGAACTGCCACGGACGGCCCAATAACAAATGACAAGCATCCATCGGAACCACATCGCACCACACCTGATCCCGATACTTAGGCCCAATGGAGAAAGAAACAAGAACGCGGCGGTCCACCGTAATCGCGTTGTCGCGTTGGATCCAAGCAAGTGTATACGGCTGAGGATGTGGTACAGTCGAAAGGTGTAGCTTGTCCGCGGCCTCTTGTGCAACAACGTTCTCGTACGAACCGGAATCAATAATGAACTGACATACTCTGTCGCCCACAGTACAAGTAGACTAAAAAATATGGTGTCGCTTCACCGGTTTGTCGACGGAAGCCCGAGGTGCTAAACACGAGCGACGAAGAACAAGGGCCCTCCCGACATCGCCGGTAAGATGTTCCTCGACTAATTCCGGCTCTTCGTAAAAAATAAGAGCCCGTCATAAACCTTTGCCGCTGAAAAAGCCTCGGTCTCCTCAGCAAATAACACACGTGACCCCGACCCTCGTGGACATGCCGCTTGCCGGTGGTCGAAATCACCGCACCCAAAACAGCGTGGCCCGCTGCCCAGGCCCGAAGTCGTAGCTCGGTTCGTCCCCTGGCCTGCATGTGAAGATCCTGCAGATGGCCCAGGCCCAAACGATCGGCCTATAGCCGTAGGTGGCGTATCAGGTCCTCCTCGCGATCCCGGCAGAAAATTCGAAGATCGCCTCGCCTGTTGTTGTTCCACCATGACGGCCCGTTGATGAGCATCCGATACCGAATCCGAAATAAACATGTTCAACATATCTTGAATCGAAACCCGCAAACTACTAATATAACGCGACACTAATTGAGCGGTGGTCTCACGAATATCAATGCGAGTAAGGAGCCAATAGAATTCTTTCGTGTACTCGTCAACTGTACGCAAACCTTGCCGTAAAGTCTGAAATTTCTAATACATAAGGCTGGTATAGTTAAACGGCAAAAATTCACGTTCGAGATGCTTACGGAATTTTGCCCAAGAAGTAATCTTCGGTTTACCCATACGATGCCGCATCCATTTTAACTGCATGAACCAGGCCTCAGCCCTTCCCCGAAGCCCCGTCGCTATAAACCCTACCCGCCGATCATCGGGCACTTCCTTGAAGTCGAGAATGGACTCCACTGCAGCAAGCCAATCGAGAAACTCCGCGGCATCGAGCCCGCTCGAGAATTTCGGCACCTCAATCCGAAAGCTCAACTCCCAGCGATTGTCGCCGCCATGTGTTGCGCGACGTTGTCCGCAGGGTACGTCCCAACCATCGTTGTCCTAGTGTTCCGAACGTTGCTCGCCATGGTCGTCTTCTTGTTGCTCCCGTCGAACGCCGACAGGGTCTCCTTGCTGTCGTCCACGCCGTGCGTCGAACATGGCGAACACGTTCGGGGCGCCACGAACGGCCCTCTGCCGCCACGGCCTCCGTGAAACCCGCCGCGACCACCCTGGCCGATGGTGTCGCATTTCATCTGCTTGCCGTGCATCATGGTTCGGATGGCAAGTCGGATTTCGTCGATCCCCTCAGAAAGACCTTCAACACGGCGATCCACTCGCTCGATTTGGAACCTTAGATCGTCGGTTTGGCGATCCAAATCTTCGAGATGGGCTTCCCGTCGTTCGTTGTTGTTTCGTTTTGGCAGTATCTGGAATCGTCCCGACAGCTGATACCAACTGATGTAGAGCGTGGTAGACGAAAAGAAAAGATGAGAAAACTCTCACATAAAATATCGATGAAATCTGTTCAATAATAATCCTCCCATTCTAACAGATGAAAAGCAATATAAATAAGACTCCTATTCTACTTATCTTACCTAACAAGATATGATAGATAATTATTTAATTACCAAAACAACTCAAATAACTAAAGAAACTAAATAAAAGAATAAATAATAATTAGAAAATAGATCAACTAAATACGAAGCCGGTCGTATTTATCCAAGAATGTCATCGGGGTCTTGTCTCCATCACCTTACCTCACTGGCCATAAGCATGAGCCAACAGCGGCGGCGTTCCCTGCCTTGTCCCCCCTTTTTGGTGGTACTGGTCGAGACGTTGGCAAGGGTCTCTGGCGGTGTTGGTCGGGACGACGACAACCATTTCTCTCCATGCTAGTGGCTCCTGATTACTGAGATCTAGGCTCAAGTGTCATCTCCTCATCAAATATGCTTAGGCAATTCGAGTTTTGACTGAAGTTCCAGATCTGGGCCCCAGTGGTTTTGAGGACCAACTCGTTTGTTGGATCATGTGGCGACAACAGTGGGTATGCTAGAAGCAGTGGATGAACTATTATACTTGTAGGTATGTGTTGTAGTTGTTTTTCTTGTTTCGCTTTTGTTATTTAGAGTCCAACTGTGTTTGACATTTAGTCACTTAAGTTTTGAGTTTTTTCTCTCCTATAGCATAGGATTAATGTTTGCGTGTTCCATACCAGCTCCCCTTGGTTGATTGAGTTACCCAAGGGGAGATCATTCAAGACTATTTCTTCTTGTTCTTATAATGTCAGTTGAAATCTCGATTGTACTCTATTTTTTTGTGTTTTACTAGTGACAATCTCGTGCGATGCACGAGGATATCGTTCCTCAAAATATTTTTTCAAAACTTTATTTTAACAATATATTATCATTTATATTAATATAATATAAATAGTATTTTAACATATACATTTTTTAATATTGAAAAATAATAATTTTGCATATTTTTGTTCATCATAATACTCCACTTTTTACAATGATGTAATTAATTTAAAATATATAAGCAAACTTAATGTTTGTTAAGAATATGTGATTCAATATAAGTTATGATAAAATGGAATGTATTCAGAAAAATGTGCTTATAATATTTTTCTTTAAATATTTGAATGAATTTGAAATTCAAATTACAAATCAACCGCCAAATTTTCAAAGAATTTGAAAAATGTTACCAATTGTAGTAAAATCCAAATTTTTCGGCAAAAATTTACTTTATACTTAAAGTATATCTCTATTGCTATTTTATTATAATAGATATAGATAATGACAATAAACATGAAAATAAATAAATATTTTCAATTATGGACATTATCTTTCCTATTACTCCAAGGACTTTACACGTGCATAATTTCATTCAATCAAAACTTGCTATATATGAAATACGCGGCCAAAAGTTATGCGAGAAAAATTATCGATCTTCTTGGTTAAACTCGCTGAAAATCTGGGCACACATAAATAACACACGTCGCAAAAAAATTAGGCGTCTTCCTCACGTGAACAGTGCGCTGCCACCTTCATACAACCATGTCCGGCGACCTCGCGATTTCCGGCAGTTTTTCATCAGCCACGGCCATAGGCTCCAACTCACACAAGAATATTTTTTTGGGAAAAAATTCACGTGTTCCTTGTGAAAATTATAAAAATCTGATAGGCTACGCGCTTCCAAAATTTCCTTATGAAATTCGAGCCATATTCCTTCACCCCGTCCCCTCACGTCCAACAATGGAAGAACATACCAGGAAATAAATTACAGCGCTCAGAAACTTCGGTCATCTTCTCTTGGGGTGCGACCAGACGTTCAAGGTTCCCGCAAATTCTAATTTCTAGTCGTGAAGAATTCATCCATGTCCACCATACCAGATAGAATTTCGGCCAGCAGCTCACGTTCGGCGTCTGTCTGTTCAAGCTGCCTTGGCCCAACCCACGTTTTCCAGCCCGCTCAGTCGAACGCCCGACTCTCAGACCACCGGCAACAAGACATGCACTCTATTTGTAGCGCCCCGTTCGATTTATAGAATTTCTCGAAATATTCTATTTATCGAATATTATTTATGAGGTTATATTTATTTTATTTGTCACGATGTCGAATTAAATAAAAGGTTGGAATACTCGATCGTTTTATTGAAAAACGTTCGTGTTCGACGATTTCGGAAAAATCGCGTGAATTGGATCTAACCCGTTTATTTATGAATTATTTGGTATTATTTATTATTATTAATAATATTGTTTATTATTATTATTATTATTATTATTATTATTATTATTACTATTATTATTGTTAATATTATTTATTGAATGCCAAATTGTCAATTAAATGTCTAAATGTATATTATTATTATTTAAATAAATAATGTATGTATTAGATATATATATATATTATCTGGTGTTAATTTTAATATCGTGCTATCGAACCGAGTCGTTAATATTAGTAATTGGAGAATTGAGATATTATTTTTAACTAAGGCGGGCCTAAGTTGTGGCCTTCGGCCCAAACCCGGCAAAAACCTGCGCGCGCGACCCAAGAACCAGACAGCCCGACCCAGTTTCCCTCTTGTGCGTGTGTGCGTGTGATTTTATTTCTCTTGCTCGCCAAGATTTTAAACCTAGTCTTCATATGTTGGCCCCTCTCGGTCATTATTCATTAACCACGTCGCTCTCTCTTGCAATTGATCTCTCGATCTCAACCTCGTCTCTTTCTCTCACGCTAGCAGAAGAAGGAGAAATCTCGTTCTCTCTCCCTTTTGTTCGATAGAAAAGAAAGCCCTTCCTCCTCCATATTTCCATCGCTTTCTCTCGCTCAGCAGTCCATCATCTCCGGCGAGCCAATCGCAGCCCCTTCCCGCCGGTGTCCCAGTCTCCAGCCGCCGTGAGACAAACCGTCACCATCTGTCGTCCTCTCTCGACATCAAATTCCGCGATCGTCGACCCCATCAAACCTCCATTTTACTCGGTTTTTCCGACGACCACCGTCCCTACCAAGCAGCAGCGGCGCTCCTCGTCAAACGCAAAACCTGATCGCGAGGCGCCATCACGCAGGCCGCCTTCCCGACCTCCGGTGAGCCCTCCTCCGCGAACAAGATCACCGCCATCCTCAGCCTCTGCTGCCCCTCCCAGCGAACCTCCATAGCCGCTGGAGACCTAGAATTTCCACGACGACCTGAAGCGGCTCCGACCGAGAGCAAGTGCGTTCCGGCAAAGCAGAACCCTCGAGCCTCCGCTGTCGACAACCACCCCGAGACAGTCGGCAACAACCCTTCTTGCCAGCTTACAGACCAACCCCGCGAACACGGAGACCCGTTCACTCGTCCGAGGAAGAGTCGACGGGCAGCAACGACCCTCTTTCCGACGTGCAACGGCCCTTCCGGGTTCATGTGAGGATAGCAACGTCAGCCACCTTCGACCCGTTTTCTCGCGACTTCCTGAGAACGGTACCGAGACTCGATCTCTTACGTTAATTGCGTGTTTTATTAATGTGCTATCGCCTAAGTGATGATATTTCATGTTAAGGATGAATTAATCATGTATTATGTTGAGCTCTCATGTCGATTCGTGTGAAATCGAATGAGACCTCATTAAAAATCGTGATAAGTACTGTGGAATTGGAACAATAATGAGTCATAGGCCTTATGGTGAAGGCCTTGGACGATTTCGATGTCTATTGAGTCAATTATGAATTATTGAACCAGTATAGTCGCTGTTTATGTGATAAATTCGTGATAAATCACACGCTATTCTGATTGATATGAAATGTTGTGTGTCAAGTCCTATGATGTTCATATAGGTCATGTATAAATTTCATGATTTTATTCCAACTGTAGCTATTTTAAATAATTGATTTGATTTCTGGGCAGAATATTGTAAAATGTATATTTAATCGAGTTGCGCTCCAAATTAGTTGAATTTTGGATATGTTGTCTCTCTGTTGTTTTGAAACTTTGGTAAAACTTTTATAATTTTTGGACTTCTTTTTCTAGGGTAATTAATTTATTGTAATATTCTGCTGAAACTTATTTTCATTATGATAATTTGATCCGCTACCGTAAATTGCTAATTCTTGGTTGAAATGCTTATTTAATGATTTTATGTGTGTGGAAAAATGCCCAGGATTTTTTGAGTTCATATTGGTTCAGTTTTGCTGAAATGTTGAAATCTGCTAAAATTTGTTACAATTTTCATAATTCTCATGTTTAATGTTTAAAGCTGAAATTTCTACATGTGTGTTATTCACATGCTGAGGGTTCTTTTGTAAAACTTTCAAAGGTTAAATCGTTCATTATATCAGTCTTTGAATTTGTGCTTGTTTTTGCTGAAAACTTGTTCGAATTTTATAAAATCATGTGTTTTGAGTTAAGGGCTGAAATTTGGTGGTTTTGCTAAGTCCATTGAGTTGGATTTTATGTTAAAATTTCAGAGCCTAACTCAGTCGGTAACCAGGCCAACCTGATTATGTGATTTATCGGTTAGTATTTCGAAAATCTAGTTCTTTATGTTAAAAACTGTAAATCGGTCCGCATGTTGTTCTTGGTTGTTTGACTTGGTCAACCCTTAGTTGGATTTATGTGAACTCCCATATGTGTTTTAGTTGATTATAAGTGCTGAGTCTAAGTGTTCCAATGTCCACAGGACTTCACGAACAGCTTAGTCGAATCAAGTTCGACTAAGTCTGATTTGTGTTTTCCGTTTAAAGTCAAGATAGATGTTGATTGTAGAATCTTGACTTAATGTAGGTGTTTGAGGAGTCGAGTCTCGACCTACATCCTTTCTGATTTTGCTTTTGTCAATCCGGAAATCCAGGTGGGTTAGTTATTCTAAAAAGTCCATGCATATGTATGTTTAAATGTGTTTGAAAATTTGGTATGATCTATGTATGCATGTGAGCATACAGCCTACCGATGTGAGCTTGATGACCATCGGTACGGTTGTCCCCGTCGATGTAATACGGTTGCCCTTACGAGGCAAGTCTCTTTAAGACCTAATGAAAGGTCGTGTCCTTGCGTGGCACGCACTCTCGCCGTAGGGTAATGAATCCCCTTTCTGCGACTAATGAAAGATGTGTACACAGGAGTGAGCCATTGATGTGGCAAGAGTCATTGATGTGGCAAGAGATGAGACATGATGTTATTATTGTTTATGTTCATGCTGCAACCATACCATTATTATGTTGTTCATATGCATAGTGTGAGTACAATATTTTCCAACTGTACTCACTCCCACCTGCTTTTCACGGATGCAGGTTAAGCAGTTGGCGGATGACGAGGCAAGGCGAGTGGGTGGTCTGGTTTATTTTACTTATGATTATTAATTGCGTCCACTTCTATGACTTATGTTGGTTTATCCGAACAAGTTGGTTGGTTGACTTTGAAAACGTGTTGAATTGGTTATTTTGAAAACGTGTTGGAATGGTTTATATTGAAAAACCTTTCTTTGATATTCATGAGTATGTGGTTAAGAATATCATGTTGTTTATGTTTATTGTTTATGCTGTTGAGATCATGGTTAATGAGAACCTTTGAAAAATCGGATAATGAATCCCCGTAGGTCCAGACAAGACTTGAATTAAGTTTTGAAATGAATGAGTAACACCAAAATGTTTATGATTCGAAAAATGAATTTCGAAAATTTTATTGTGATTTCTTGGAAAAGCCATGGATTGTCTTTAAAATCAAAGTGGGGCGTTACACTATCCCTCAGCTAACGTTCGAGAGTAGTAACTGCCATGTACGGCTCTTAGCTATTTCAGACGTCCAGCGAAGCCACCATCTATGACCATGTCCATCAGTTATAGCAGCCGCCGGCGCACAACAGTAACACGCCCTCACACAGCCTTCTTCACGCAGCAACAACAGTTCCCACCGTAAAGCCCACAACCCGCCCTCCCCATGCTTAACCGGAAAGCAGCCTGCAATTCGCCACCAGCCGTGGCAGTTTTCAACCCCCAACCACTGAGAGATCTTGGTGTGTGATCTTTTCCACAAAATGTGTTGACTGTTTCCTTTAAATATTCGAATTGTTTCCTTTAAAATGAACAAAATTTGGATTTTTTGAACAAACAGAATTTTAGATTTTAAAAAAAAAAAATTGTCGTAAGTAGTAAGTCAAACAGGTTGACTCAGTGGTTTTATGAAATTTCAACAAATGATTTATTGACTATCCTCTTTCAATATATACAGATAAGATAATAGTCGATTGTTAAAAAATTAAAATATTGGTGCAAATATATTATATATAATATCTCAATTGTGTAGATGGGTTTTGTTGGTTGGCTGAGATTAAGCATCGAAGAACAAATAGAAAACGGTCCTGAGCTGATCACTGAGTTCCACTTTGTTGGCTAGGTAGTTTTAGGCCATGTGTAACTATTAAATAATTAATAGATAAGTTCAAATTAATCCTTTAAGTAATTATACACTGGTCAATAAGGAGATCAATACATCCCTTCATTAATTTTCCACACAAGGGTGAGACTTGAAATGGACCATGAAAAGAAAATAAAGCACACATATAATGAAGTCGCCCTTAAATATATTTGTTCTCCATAAAAAGGTCTGTCTTTATTTTTATTTTTATTTTTTTTCCTTATATAGAGAGAGAGCAAGCTAATATAAATTTGTGAGGTTGATTATTAATAGTTTTGGGTTGGAAGATTTTGTCCGGACAAATAAGAACGGATTAAAGCAAGAGACTCTTTAGGCTTATTCAGAGGCACCAAATGACCCGCGCCTCTCACCGTCACTAACGTCACCCCTTCATACTCTACCATTCTTCCTGCTACCTGCATGATTATGTGTTCACATAAATAAATTAAACACAATTCAAAATTAATGCATAAAAAATAACTGAAATTGTTCTAATCAAATCACATTTAATAATTAATTATGGATTAAATAAAGCAGCCGTTTAAGAATTATTTGTTACATAGCATCTAGGCTATATAACAAATTAATATTCCCTAACTATTTAATTGGAGCTTTAATTTTATGTCAAAATCACCCAAATCACTTATAAGTTATATATAAATATATTATTAGAAACTGGTGAGCTTATTTCGGCTCTTTGTTACGCGCATTTTTNTCATCTTATTATACTTTCATTTTTTTTATGTATATAATTTATATTATATTTTTATACATTTGTGTATGTAGTACCATTTTTTTTTTAAATTGTGTAACTGAGTTAGATAAAACCTGGTGATCATAAAACCAAGTGGTCCATGGAGTCTTGAGAGGTAATTTAAGAGCTTCAACGCAATATCTCGAGCCTATAACGGGAACTCTACCATCTGCATCCCCACTATACAATCCAATCCAAACACCAAAACAATATTATAATTAGATTTTTCTAAATGAAATGAAAACTAATTAATTTATAATTTACCCAACTACGAAAATGAAAAAAGCCTAATTCTACTATTTTTTTTATTAGTATATACCTGTAAATCCAAATTTTTAGGCCTGTTTTGACGAGTTTTTCATATACGGGCAAGATGGAAAAGACAGTGTAGTTGTATCGTCTAAACAGAGTATCACTGTAGCCAAAAACAATTGCAACGAAAAAAAGTTTCATTATTCAAATTAAGATTAGACTAAGAATAAATTAATTAAATTTAGTATTAATTACTTAACAAGATGAATTTTTAATTAATTAAATAAAATAAAATTACTTACTTGCATACTTTCCATTCTACAGTATCACTAAGCCCTCTCGATTTTACATGCAATGCACGTTGAACTTCAATCCTGTTGAAATACGCTTCCGTGTATTTTGAATAGCATGGATCATAACCTCCAGGGATTAATTGATTGAACCTTCTCAACATGTTATTTTGTGTCTGTACAAATAAAATAAACTATAAATTACTTGCACAATCCCTTTTAATTCCAACGTAACCGACAAAAAAATAATGCTGTAAGAGATAAAAGTTTTGGACCAAAATTGCAATTTTCTCAAGAAATAAAATCAAGTAACCGACAATAATGCACCTTAGCGTTCGAAAAATCATTATTTTCATCGGTTGTTCCAACGTAAGATGATGATGTATTGTTGTTAGTAAGGCATGAAGGAGCATAAATGTTATAGATGTCAATCTCCGTGTACTGCTTCCAGACTGCATTTACGGCTTTATTACATTCTCGAGACCAGTTTTCGAACCTGAAATCGCATGCTCGTTTAATATTATCAAACTCCTCGTCTGATATAACCGAATGGCTCCATGCATACTCAACTATTCCTTTAGAATCGAAATAATCGTTCGTCTCAGGGTTCCCTACCTGCAAGCCCATTAAATTATTTCTAGATCATGACTACTTAATTATTAATTTGAAACTTAATTTGAAATAATTAGGCCAAAGTGCTTCATTTTAAAAAAAAAATAAAAAAAATTGATGAACCATTTAAAACATACTATAAATCCTTTGAGGTTAATATATGGATATACGGTCGTCATCTTGTTCCTGTCGTACACAAGTTCGGCCAGCTGAGGCACGTAATGACCTATAAACAAAAGAAGAAATTGAATGAGTAGA